CATCTTGCGTTCATGATTGGGTTTTGTTATTTGAATGTTCTCTCTCTACCCCATCTTCCCCTCCATTTCCTTTTTATATTTTTAATGTTGGTAATTGATTTCATATGTTCTGAACTTTAGGAATGGGATTTCTTTGAGGTTTGGTTTAAAGTTGTATTCTTGCAAAGAGGTTTCTGCAAGTTGTTTATGGACATTATTAGTCTTGTTGAAATTTACTAATGTGCTATTGGTGTTACGAATCAAGCTATAGACCTGCCTAAGTGATGACTTACTTTTGAATTCTCAGGGGAAAGATTCTTGTTTGATTTCTTTTTCTCCATTCTTTTCTCAGTGCCAAGCAAGTTTTCTTCCTGTCCCCCATCTGCAAGGTGGGCTTATACCTTGATCATGTCTTAAAAACGAGGGAATAGCTTGAATAGGTCTCCTGTTGGAGTCACCACTTCTGGCATATTATGTTTTTTTTTTTTTTTTTTTTTTTTTTTAATCTTAAATTTTATTTTTATATTCCCCCATACAATTGCAAACACCCCATTCTGACCCCAATCCTTCCCTCCCGCCCCCCACCCCCCAAAAAGTGTCTCTGGTTCATAGTTTTTTGTTGATTTTGATTTTCACTTTCTTATATTCATTTTCCTGGTCCCCTATTTAAGTTTTCTAGATTCCTGCTATGAGTGAGACCATCCGGTATTTTTCTTTTTCTTTTTGGCTTATTTCGCTGAGCATGATCCCTTCCAGCGCCATCCATGTTGCTGCAAATTGCATGTGTTTATCTTTTTTGAATGCTGAGTAATATTCCATGGTATATATGTACCACATCTTCTTGATCCAGTCATCTACTTTTGGGCATTTGGGTTGTTTCCAAAGCTTAGCTATTGTAAACAGTGCTGCTATAAACATAGGGGTGCAGGTGCTCTTTGGAATTGATGTTTCTGTGTCCTTTGGGTAAATACCTAGGAGTGGAATTGCTGGATCATATGGAAGCTCTATGTTTAGTAGGTCCAGAAATCTCCACACAGCTCTCCATAGTGGTTGGACCAGTTTGCACTCCCACCAACAGTGCAGAAGAGTTCCTTTTTCTCCACATCCTCGCCAACATTTGTTGTTGCTAGTTTTTTTAATATGTGCCATTCTCACTGGTGTGAGATGGTATCTCATGGTAGTTTTGATTTGCATTTCCCTGATTGCAAGTGATGTTGAACATTTTTTCATATGTCTGTTGGCCATTTGCATTTCCTCTTCAGAGAAGTTTCTTTTTAGCTCTTCTGCCCATTTTTTGACTGGATTATTTTCTTTGTTGTTGCTGAGTCTCATCAGCTCTTTGCAGATTTTTGTGATCAGTCCTTTATCATTAGTGTTGGGTGCAAAAATGTTCTCCCAGTTGGTGGGGTTTCTCTTTGTTTTTGTTATTGTCTCTTTTGCTGTGCAGAAGCTCTTTAATTTGATGTAGTCCCAGCTGTTTATCTTTGTCTTCACTATCACTGCTTTGGGTGATGTGTCTGTAAAGATGTCTTTGATGTGCAAATCCCGTAGTGTTTCGCCTATATTTCCTTCTATGTATTTTATGGTTTCAGGTCTTATGTCTAGTTCTTTAATCCATTTTGAGTTGATTTTCTTGTTCCCTCTCTCCCTAAACTAATCCAAGTGGAAGAACTGGTTTCTGCAGTTGAGAAATCTTCTGAAAAACCAGGAAACTTGCTGGTAGCCTACTTCCTAGTAATCTTGATTTCATTTCATTTTTTGGGTTCCTTTTGTGCCATTTCAGTTTGTGTTATCAAAGTTTTTATTTAATTTTTTTTTAATTTCACATTTCAATTGTTTTCAGAAGGCACTTTCTGGGGTACTTAATTGTTTATACAGTGTTTGAATTTTTTTTAATTTGGTATGTCTTCCAAAAATTTGAAGCTTAGAAACTCCTGTTCTTTAATTTACTTTTATTTCTACTTTGAAAAGATTTTGTTGCTTAAGTTTCTCCCTTTGTGCAAAAAATCATATATATACTAAAAGATCTAAGAATCGTGTAACATTAGACGTTTCCTAAAGTAGATCATCTAATGCATTCCTGCGAAAGGGAGGTTTGAAGGAGATAAAACATTTTAGTAACGTGTGACTTTTAAGTTCTTCTTTAATCCTGGGCAATTACTTAAGCTTTGTGAGTTTCAGTGCCATCTATTAAGGCAGAAAGAACAGCTTTGTAACAGTGTCAACGTGAGCCTTAAATGATTTAACTTAATGATTCCTGGTACTTGGTCTAGTATAGTGATTGGGTAAATACCATGGTTTCTCTCGTCATTTTTCAGAAGAGGAAATTGAATCGCAAAAATGTTATTTGCTACCTACACAAAATTCTGTAGTTGTTGAGCTGGAAATCAATCACCTGTCTCTTCCGAATTTTACCTTTCAGAAGAATAATATTCAGTAACTTAATCGGCTTACCTGTGCATTTCTTGAGTACCTTATACTTTTTTCCCAGGACCTAATGTATCTGGTTAGAAAAAGAAGATTTAAAGTAACAGCCCATTTTGGCAGATTTCTTGAATATTAATATGCTTAGTGTTAGAGAAAGAGTAGCACCTGCCTGGCACAGAGGGAGGGGTGATTTGAACCAGGTAATGAAGTTTGTATAGGATACCAAGATGTTTGAAAAGAGGGATTAGCCTTTTAGGTAGAAATAACAGCAGCATACACCAGTGCCTGAAGGTAGGAGGGAGGAGCCTGTTTTGTTTATGAAAAAATGTACGATTTCTGTACATAATATACCAGTTGCGTTCTGGGGAGTGGCCTGTCTCCTGAGCAAGGTGGCAATTTAGATGTGTCTTAAATGATTGGTAGTGTTTCAGCATGTAAAGATAGAATGGTAGGTTATCACAAATCAAGGAAATAACTTCAGTAATGTTATTTAACAGAATATGTTATTTATTTTTTTAAAGGCTTTTTTTTTTTAAAGATTTATTTATTTTATACAAGCACTGGGTACAGTCAGAGGTACAGGAGGGTGAGAGAATTCACCAGAGCGGGGAACAGAACAGACAGACCGACGAAATACACTGCTGAGGGGAGCAGCGTGTGTGGCAGGAGAGGTCTGCTTGACATGTGGGACCCTCGCTGGCGGCCAGGGATCAAACAGGCGCTGTAGAGGCTGCGGGCAGCTTCGTAGCCCAGCACTCAACCACTGCGCCACCAGGGGAGGCCCCAGAATATGTTATTTAAATGCATGTAGGAATACATGAGTAGTCACACTGACTTGGCCACCTAAATCATTAGCTGAGACATAAACTCTTTCTGAGAAATCAGCAGGAAATTTTGCATAGCTCATTAATACTTTCATGTGAGAGGGCTTTTCATGGGTGGGGGATAAAGAGTAGTTTTTCTATTTTTATGCATAAAAGATACAGTAATAAAAATATTTTGGTAATAAAGCATACGTGGCTTTGAATAGCAAAGTTGCTAGTAATAGTTTAAAATTTGATAACCATCAAAGTTCCTTATAACATTTTGAATGCAGACTTGGTGTAATGATGCTCTAACTAGGTGATTTGTGTGACTTCACGTACTGAAATTGGAGAGCAATGCATCTGAAGTAGCAGTTCATTTATTGCTGTAATTTAGGTTTGAGGTTATTAAGATTTGAATAAGGGATGGTGGTAATAGGGATGAAAGAAGAGACATTGTAAGAAAGATTTATAAAAAATAATAATTGACAAATTCTGACTATCACTGAAAATAGGTTTTGGAAACCAGGGAGTTGGGAATATTGATAAAACATACTTGGGTGACTAGAAAATTCTTGCTTGATACTACCAAGGGGAGTAGTATACCCCCCTTGCTAAATACTACCAAGTGGAAAAAGTAGTTGTGGAGGAAAACTTTATCACTTGTTATTTATTGGGTATTAGGTTAGCTACAAGTGTATTTTATTTTATTTATTTATTTATTTTTTTTTTATAGAGGCATGCTTTATTTATTTGTTTGCTGGTTTGTTTGTTTGTTTTGTTTATACATGTACTGGGTACAGTCAGAAGCGCGGGAGGGCGAGAGAATTCACCAGAGCCAGAGCGGGGAGCAGAGCAGGCAGAAGGACCGAAGCACACTGCTGAGGGGAGCAGCGGGCGGCAGGAGAGGTCTGCGCGCCATGTGGGACCCTCCTCTGGTGGCCGGGGAGCAGCCGGGGATCGAACCGGCGCCGCAGAGGCCGCGCGTAGCTTCGCAACCCAGCGCTCAACCGCTGCGCCACCGGGGAGGCCCTGCTACAAGTGTATTTTAGAACATCAAATTGCCTTTGTAAAAATAGCTTTTGAAATTATGGTTTAGGCTGTGATTAGACAGGCAGTTTGGTCTTGTATAAGTAATGAAGGCTTTGGAGACAGATTTAAATTCCAAATTGCTTTCGTAAGATGGAAAAGTTACTAATCTCTGTCAATTTTACTTTGTTCATCTATAAACTAGAAATATTAATACCTGCTTCAGGGCTGTTAGGCGAACTAAAGAGTATAATATATATGCAAAATGGCCTGTTGTTAAGTCCTCAATAGATGTTACTTTCCCTTTCTTTATCATGGTTGGCTATTGCCATACATTAAGACAACCCAAAGAATAACACATGAAGCATTTTGTTTTACTGTTGAGCAATTCACTGAAATCATAACTGATTTTGCACTAGCTAAAATATATCTATAATTAGTTTGTAATGAGACTATGAATTATAATTGTTGAATGTGTAGGTGTATTTAGTCTTCATTTCTGGTAAGTGACTTTACTTAGAGGATATGTGTTTTATGTGAGCAAGAGAGTCTGTTTCCTGGAAGGAAACTGTGGTCTTCAGATCTTTATAATAATGCACCTTTATCTTTTTTAACTCATGAGTAGTGTCTTACACACGTTCTTAAGGCAGATTTTTTGCAAGAAGTAAAGGAAGCATCCTTATGAACCTGTTAAGACTCCATAGACTATCAGTAACATGGAAAAATTGGATATTTAATCAGGAATGTGAACATGTGTTTCAGGTAGAGAATGCCAAAGATAACGAAGATAGTATTCTGCAAAGAGAAATTCCTGCCAGACAGTCTCGACGAAGGTTTCGGAAAATTAACTGTAAAGGAGAGCGCCAAACCATTACTGATGATGTGGACATAAACAACTATTTTTCTGTGAGTATATTTTAGGAACATTATATGGAGCTCATATACAGTATCTTTAATTTACATATATATTAATAATACATAAATTTCTAAATTGATTTCTGTTTTTGAGTTTGATGGAAATATCTTACTAGTTGGAGTTTTGTTTTTGCTTAAATAATTTACCATATAGTTTTAGATGTATTTGTGGATTTTCTTGCCTTCTTATTGCCTAACTGTAGTATAGATTGGAGTCCTCTGAAAGAACTTGAGAGATGGTATCATTGAGCATTTCTTTTTGATACATTATAAGACATACAAAGAAACTTTGATTTGTGGGAACAGTGTTAGTTCAGAAACATGCAAGTGATAAAGGTATGTTTTCACATGCAAATAATGAGAAAGAAGTAGATGAAATAATTTTTGTAATCCCAGAACAAAGATAAGCTGTTTCTTCAGAAGTTTTCAATTCTGCAATAGTAGATAACTGCATTTTAGAATGAAAAGTAGTTCAATCAAAAGTAATTGATCCGGGCCTCCCCGGTGGCGCAGCGGTTGAGCGCTGGGTTGCGAAGCTGCCCGCGGCCTCTGCGGCGCCGGTTCAATCCCCGGCTGCTCCCCGGCCACCAGAGGAGGGTCCCACATGGCGTGCAGACCTCTCCTGCCGCCCGCTGCTCCCCTCAGCAGTGTACTTCGGTCCTTCTGCCTGCTCTGCTCCCTGCTCTGGCTCTGGTGAATTCTCTCACCCTCCCGCGCTTCTGACTGTACCCAGTGCATGTATAAACAAAACAAACAAACAAACCAGCAAACAAATAAATAAAGCATGCCTCTATAAAAAAAAAAAAAAAAAAAAAAAGTAATTGATCCACCAAATATGAGAGCAGTTAGTTTCAAGACTGATTGTAGCAAAATTCCTGAAGGTTTGTTTAGTTCTTTGATTGTCAGAAAAAGAAATTTACTCATTCCATGTTTGGAATAAGAAAGTTCATTTAGGGAGTTGTTTATACTGGACTGTTAGATTTAAAGCAATTCTAAGGATTTAGTCACATTTGCTTTATTTCATTGAATCAGCACATTCTACTTCTGACAACAAACAATAATGTGAAATAGCCTTGAATTTCTTTTTAACCACATCCTGAGCAACACAGGTTCATTTCCTGCTAGTATTAACTAATTTTGTTTTCCCCATAACTAATTAATTTAAGGTAATGGTTTTTCTTTCTGTACATGTAATACGTCTGTTTTTGAAATAATAAAATTTGATTAGTCCCACCACCCATTAATGTAACCATGGTGACATTTTGCATCTTCTTGAATAAAGCTGTTTTTCAGCATATGGATAAATTGGTACACTTTTGGGCTAACTTTTAAAAATTTAATTGTATAAATTGATTTATACCTTATAAAACTTAAAATATGTAGCCTGAATACCATTGAATGCTATTAAGAATTTTTTACATTCTTAATAGTATGATACTTCATTATAATAATTGCCGTAATTTATTTACTCAGTTACTGATGTTAGGTCAGTAGATTTTTTTAGGTTTTTGTTTTTTAAGAACAATGATGCTCTTATAAGGTTTTTTTTTTGGGGGGGGTCAGTTCTTTATTGTCATTTGTTCACATAATGTATACAACTTTGGGGTAACATTTTACACTCCATATATGCACATGTTTCATTCCTGCTCCACGAAACCGTCCATGCCAGTACTCTATTCCCCTTTGTTGAAATAGTTGCTAATTATCTTTGTGGTTGTAGATGCCTCATATCTTGATTTCCTTAGCAAAAATTGCAAAAAGTAGAATTGCAAAATTCAAGTTTGTTCAGTTAGACTATTTCATGCTCCTTGTGTGAGCTAGAGGGAAGATTTTGTGGTTTTTTTACTTTCTTATTCTAGTCTCAACTATATTGTGTTCACTAATATTTTTGCTATCATGTCATGAAACCTAGTCAGATACCGTATTTTGTGATGATAGCTGTAACCTGTGTTCATGAGTAATTTACTTTTAGCTCTCATGTAAGCCGAGATTGTCCTCTTGGGGATATACTGGTTTTCTGAGTGGAACAGAAAGAAAAGTAGGCACAGTGCTTGGGATTTTGTCCGTTTGATAATTTCAAGTGTGACATTTTTACATGTGAAAGCTTGTGTAACTTTAGGTGGTTATTCTGCTAAGTGCTCACAGGAATTGGGTGAACTAAGTTGATCTGATTTAGACAAAACTGATTTATTAGCTGTGAGACTGGATAAGAAACGTATTTAAGGTCATGTTTCTTGCATTTGTTATTTCTTGAAGTAATAAGATACTGTATCCTAAAAGGGGTATATTGCAGGCAACTTAGAAAATACTGTAAGTATTAAGAGATTTCACTTTTATTTAACTATTATCACCAGTTATGTAAAACTTATGCATCTAGCCAAATTATTAATAGTACATATTGATAATTGGTCTGAGTAATAATGCTATATAGCAAAAATTCTATTTAATATTTGAGAAGGTATGATGTTGAGAGTTAGTATTATGGATACTATAGAGGCCTTGTGCTACTATTAGAAAGATCAGGAGGAATCATTCCTTTAAATAGCCATTGAAAGATCAGGTTTGTTTTCATTTGCAAACCAGTTATTTCATGCAAGGTCAAAATTCTTAAAATGTGTATAGAATATTTTGTTACTGTTTATCATTATTATTAGTACACAATCATCTGCTTTAAAGTTATTTTCTAAAGAGATGATGCTCAGAACAGTTGAAAAAGGTAATTTATTCTTAGGAAATAGTCAATTATTATTATATACATTATATGAAGATGAGAATCATAATCTTAATTTCATAATTTTTTTTTAAAGATTTATTTTTATTTATCTATACAAGCACTGGGTACAGTCAGAATTGCGGGAGGGTGAGAGAATTCACCAGAGCCAGAGCGGGGAGCAGAGCAGGCAGAAGGACCAAAGCACACTGCTGAGGGGAGCAGTGGGCGGCAGGAGAGGTCTGCGCACCATGTGGGACCCTCCTCCGGTGGCCGGGGAGCAGCTGGGGATCGAACCGGCGCTGCAGAGGCCGCGGGCAGCTTCTCAACCCAGCGCTCAACCGCTGCGCCACCGGGGAAGCCCTTAATTTCATAATTTTTTAATTGTGAAAAGAGCACTTTCACAACATTTTTGAAACTCCTTTGAGTATTGTTCTTTGAGCTTACTGCAAATTTAAATGTTTTTCTGAATATTCTATGATTTTTCAGAGCTTTGGTTTATGAGACAAGTATATTTGATATTTAGCTTCAACCACTGATGGGGTTGGGGGAAGGGAGTAGAGAAGTGCTGGAGGTTGGATCAATTGCAGATAGTCAATGATAATCATGACTATAATGAAGCCTTTATACAAACTCAAAAGGATTAAGATTTGGAAAGCCTCCAGGTTGGTGAACTTGTTTGGGAGAGAATGGCACATTCAGAGTGCATCAACTCAGTGTCCATCTCCTCATAGCTTGTCCCACGCATGTCTTCCATCTGCTGTTGCTGAGTTGTCCTTTCATACTAAACCATTTATTAAGTAAAATGTTTCTCTGAGTTATGTGAGTCACCATCAAATTAATTGCACCCAAGAAAGTGGCACTGAGGATCTTTGATTTACATAGCTAGTCAGTCAAAAGTGCACTCAATTTGGACTTTCAACTGACATATGAAGTCCAAGCAAGCGTTCTTGGGAACCTCCATTCTGTAGCCAGTGGATCAGAAGCACCTGGGCTTAGGATTGGTATTTGAAGTGGAAGAGGTGTGATAGTCCTGTAGTATTGAACCATGAACCTTCTCTCTCTCTCTCTCTCTCTCTCTCTCTCTCCCTCTTCGCCCCCCCCCCCAAATAGTACGATGGGTAATTAAGCCAAGTGAAAATAATCTAGCATTTAGATGAGGCATCTGTCTGAATCCTCCTTTCACTAACTATGTGATTGGGCCATTTCGTTTAAACCCTTTGTTTAGTTCTTTTTTTGTTTGGTTTCTTTACCTCTCAAAATAAGTGTGGTATTGTCCGGTCTACCTGTCATGGGATGGTTGCTGAAGTTCTTGTAACATGTTTGCACATTCATAATCTAATCAGTCACTTATATCTATAGAGTCTTCCTCTCAAATGTTTCAAAATTTATGCCCTCCACTCAGCTTCCCCATCTCACTGTCTTAGTATTCTCTGCTATTCTTTCTACAACTATTATAATAGTATCTTCCACACTTCCCCAGCCAGCTGTCACTGTAAAAAGCAGTATTTATTTTTTCATATCAAGAGATTGGAGAAAAGCTTTTAATTGATGAGTTTTGTATAATTTCTTTATTCAGAAGTATCTGCTTAATCACTTTATTCAATTTTAAGGTTTGCTTTTCTCTACTGTCTGGTTTCCCTACTGCTAGCCCTGTTCCCTTCATCCCCAACCCCCTGCCACCAACTAGTCCTCTCATTTCTGTCAGTCCTAAATGAAGCTCAAAAATACCACTTTGTGGGGGGGCCTCCTCTGGTGGCACAGCAGTTGAGCGCTGGGCTGCGAAGCTGCCTGTAGCCTCTGCAGCGCCAGTTCGATCCCCGGCCGCCGGCGAGGATCCCACATGGCGTGCAGACCTCCCCTGCCGCGCCCGCTGCTCCCCTCAGCAGTGTATTTCGTCAGTCTGCCTGTTCTGTTCCCCACTCTATCTTTGGTGAATTTTCTCACCCTCCCGCACTTCTGACTGTACCCAGTGCTTATATAAATAAATAAATAAATCTTTTTTAAAAATACCACTTTTTTTCAAGTTCTTAAATATTTTCATGGCCTACTATCATCTGTGAGAAATTCCAGTGGATCTTCATAGTCTACATCAGTCCTAATATTACTCTGTGCAGGAATGGAAATATTTTAGATCAGTGCTTTAAAAATTGGTAGTAAATAATCACAGTGACTACTGATCACTTAAAATGTGGTTATGATGACAAAGGATTTTAATTTCAAACTTTAATTTTAAATAACTTACATGTAGGTCACCATATGTGATTAGTAGCTACCATAT